TACCACTGAGAACAGTCTAGATCCATCCTCTTTGGAACCCCCTTTCAGGTAGCTGAAAGCAGCTATCAAATCCCCCCTCATTCTTCTCTTCTGCAGACTAAACAATCCCAGTTCCCTCAGCCTCTCCTCATAAATCATGTGCTCCAGACCCCTAATCATTTCTGCTGCTCTCCGCTGGACTCTTTCCAATTTTTCCACATCCTTCTTGTAGCGTGGGGCCCAAAACTGGACACAGAACTCCAGATGAGGCCTCACCAATGCCAAATAGAGGGGAATGATCACGTCCCTCGATCTGCTGGCAATGCCCCTACTTATGCAACCCAAAATGCCGTTAGCCTTCTTGGCAACAAGGGCACACTGTTGACTCATATCCAGCTTCTTGTCCACCATAACCCCTAGGTCCTTTTCTGCAGAACTGCTGCCTAGCCATTCGGTCCCTAGTCTGTAGCAGTGCATGGGATTCTTCCGTCCTAAGTGCAGGACTCTGCACTTGTCCTTGTTGAACCTCATCAGATTTCTTTTGGCCCAATCCTCTAATTTGTCTAGGTCCCTCTGTATCCTATCCCTACCCTCCAGCATATCTACCACTCCTCCCAGTTTCGTGTCTTCGCAAACTTGCTGAGGGTGCAGTCCACGCCATCCTCCAGATCATTAATGAAGATATTGAACAAAACCAGCCCCAGGACCGACCCTTGGGGCACTCCGCTTGATGCTATATAATATGTCAATCACTAGTGGACATAAGCCCAATTACTACCAAAGAGTAAATGGTGCTGCTAGTAATGATTATTTATACTTAATATATGTATCCTTTCTCCAATTATACAGCTATTGATTCCTAAAAATGTGCACATAAAAAGGAGACCAAAATAATTAAGGACCTCAAATGGGACTTCAGTGGGAGCTGTGCATGTTTAGCACTTTAAAAAAAAAAAACGTATTCAAAGCTTCACACTCAGAAGGAGGTTTGAAACAAGTTATTTTACTTGTGGAATAGGAGACTAGCAATTAGTACAGAGCCCCCAAATTCTCCGCTCTGGCTCAGGAAACAGTATTTAACTGCAATTCTGCAATGAATTTTTGGGAGATGCTAGATCATAGAAGTTGCCTAATTGATGTTCAGAGCTCAACTGTGCAATTTTAGACTGATGTAAACAGTTGAATAAAACATCCACTTCTTAGAAAAAAAAAAAAAAAAGAAGAAGTCTAACTTCATACAAACATGAGCTGTCATAAAATACCTTTGCATCTTGCTCATACTATTGGGAAAAAGCTGCCATTTTTATATTAATAATTCTTTCCAGAATTAATCAGTCATTGTACATTAGAACCAGCAGCTGGAGTGTTTTGAGTGATAATGAAACCTGTAACAAGCCATCTTCAGCCATCTTTTCCAAACAATAAGGGAATTAAAATTTCAATTTAAATGCAGGGTTTGAAACACGCTTCAGTGGCAAAATTACTTCAATTAATGTGAGTGGAATACAAAGAACAGACTGCAGAAATGTGATGCAGCAACCAGAAATTATGCCATTAATGTGCTTGCATCAACCCAACACAAAGGCTGCAAAGGTCTAATTTAGACTGTACATATCACAAAGCTACAGGCAACAATATTAATCAGCGCTCCAATTTCAATGCAAGGGATACAAGCGCCTTGTCAGATCACTTTAGGCTTTTTATAAACCAACAGCAGCTGTTTACCTTGAGGAGGGAAACAAAAGGACAAGCACATCTATAAACATTCTGCATCCCTGACAGTTTAATAATTATTTTATACAATATTCAGATCATATAAAGAGAGAAAGGTATTATCCTGCAGCCAGCACATGATTATAACATCACATTGACAAACAGGAAGAATTAAAAGAAGATGGCAAAAGCCAATGAGCCCTCACCAATTTTTGTCTGTTAAAACAGTCAGGATGCAGATAAGTTATTGTGTTTACATATTATAGCTGCACTTGTCTTGAAATGGGAATTGAAAAGTACTGATGAAAGTATTAATACGTTAATACAGTTTTTATTGTAGTTTTCCCTGCATTTCTTGGTTTAAAAGCTAAATGGTAACCCCTTACAGCAACGTACCTTGATGAATCACAACAGATAACCTTAGCCGAAGAACCAACATGGTACTGTCTAGCAGCCTGAGCACAAAGAGCAGGCACGAACACTCACTTCCCTTACGACCTTGTGCAAGTCTCAGCTATGTGTACCTTTGTTTCCCATCTATGAAACTGCGGTGACGCTAACTAACAGAGGAGTCAAAGGATTAGTCAATATTTGCAAAGCACTTGGAAGACAAAGCATTACTTATTCATTTCCTATAGCAATAGAATCAGAACTCGGCACAGGCTGGAAATGGGACTGTTCTTCTCCGGAAGAACACCACTCTCACAAAGTCAGGGTATGGTCCTCTGTGCAACCATTCTTTAAAGACCAACAAACTAGCTCTTTAACAGGTTTAACTAGGTCAAAACAGAAAAGGGGGGGGGGGAACAGGTTAACAATAATGAGTTTAAACTGTCCTAATATTAAACCACAGGGTATCAACCATTAACTCTTTCTTCACTGAGCATTGCCTATTTATTCCACTTTCTTAACCAGTTTTTGTTGAATACAAGAGAATACGTCTCACCCCAGATAACGTATTTCCTCCATCAAGGACTTTGACAAAAAATACCTCAAAATCTAAGTAAATCCTAGCCATCCCTGCTCTTCTAGTTGTGGCTCTATTAATACCTTCCAAGAATTATAACAGGCTTGACTTAATATTTTATATAGTACCAGAAATGTCCATAGTGCTTTACAAAACAGATTCATGACCTGCCCCAAACAACTTACAATAAGGCAGACAAGAGACAGGACAATAGTTCAAATAAGGGAAAGAAGGATGAGGAGAACAAGGCTGAAAAAGGGTTCCAGGAAGAAAAGCTTTTTAAGGAGGGAGGACAGAGACAGATGACTGGCAGACAAGATGTAGAGGGTGGCATGAAAGGAAGCACAAAGGCAAGAGTGCAACGAGTTGAAGAAAACCAGCCACGAGAGGATTGGAAGGAGTGTAATGAGTCAGAAAGGAAGGAAGGGATGGAGTTGTACAATATGGAGTAGTACCCGGGGGAAGAATTATGTATGTCATTAAAGGCCAACATGAGGAGCTTGAGTTTGAGGCCAAGAGTAACAGGAAGCCTGAAAAGAGATTTTTTGAGAGGTGAGAAATGAAGACAACTTTAGCCAGCCACTTTTTGGATAGTACAGAGAAGAGGAACCAGAAAAAATGAATTCAAGAGTGAGTTTTGGCAGTGGGGAAAAGTGAAGAAAGGACAGGCAATACTGAAGAGGAAGAAGCAACAGGAATTTGAGAAGTGATGGATTACAAGGTGGGAAAGAGAAGAGTCAAAGGTAACACTAAGGTTGTGATCCTGGGAGACAGGAAGGATAACCGAGTTGACGATGATATTAAAGAAGGGAAGTGAAGGAGAAGATTTCAAGAAACAACATAATTCTGTGGAGGAATCAAGAACAATATGAACAGAGAAAACTCCCACCCCTTGCAGAAGATTACTAGTGTCATTGGTAAAGAAAGAGTAGTTTTGGTAGGGGGTGGAATCTAGATTGGTCATGAAGTCTAGGCACCATGCCCTAGGTTTTTGGAAACAGGAAGGGAGAGAAATAGGACAGTAATTGGAGGAGTGGGTGTGGGTGAAGGGAGGCTTCCTCATGACTGAGGATGAAAGGTGTGCTTAAAGCAGATGAAAATGAGCCCCAGGAGAAAGAGCACTTAAATAAAAGGGATGGAGAAAGAGCAGAGAATTACAGGAGGTGGGAAGAAATGGGAACAAGGGCACAGAGGAATTAGAGGGAAATAGTAGAAGAGAGAGTTGAGTTGTGAAGCAAGAAGCCTCTCCTCCTCTGTGATGAATGAGAAAGCAGAGGCCTGCCAGTTGAAGAAAGGAGAATGGGAGAGAGAATGGGAGAGGGAGGAGGCAAATTCTTGCTGGCAAGATTCAATTTTCTTTTTTTCTAAAAAAGCTGGCGAAATCTCAGCAGAGAAGGAGGTGGAGGCAGATGACTGAAAAGGTAGTTACAAGAAGAGGATTAGTCTGGAAAGAAGAATTAGTCTGAAGAAGAGAAGACAGAGGAGAGAAGAGAAAACTGAGAGGAGACATGATAACAGTTTTCAAGTACATAAAAGGTTGTTGCAAGGAGGAGGGAGAAAAATTGTTCTTAACCTCTGAGGATAGGACAAGAACCAATGGGCTTAAATTACAGCAAGGGAGATTTAAGTTGGACATTAGGAAAAATTTGCTGTCAGGGTGGTTAAGCACTGGAATAAATTGCCTTGGGAGGTTGTGGAATCTCCATCACTGGAGATTTTTAAGAGCAGATTCGACAAACTTCTGTCAGGAATGGCCTAGATAATACTTAGTCCTGCCAGGAGAGCAGGGGACTGAACTAGATGACCTCTTGAGGTCCCTTCCAGTCCTATGGTTCTAGAAGAGTGAAAGGTAGAGGAGAGATGGCCAGGGTGATAGCACAAGAGCAGTGAGGGAGGAGATGTAAGGGAAAGGAAACAGATGGAGCTCAGAGAAGGATCGTACAGTGGAGGAAGTCACCAGTGAGAATAAGAACCAAGGTCATGAATGCAGTAGGAAACCCAGCATGGCAAGGGGCACAGACACAGAAGAAAGGAAAGGAATCAATGAAGTGCAAAGAAGAAGGTTGCTTCAAAAAACCATGGACAAAAGAAAGACAAGGGGAGGAAGGGAGATTAGCGACCCAGAGTCCACTTCAGAAAAGGCTGAGGGAAGCAATGAAGCCAAAGAGGTTGACAGGCTGAAGTTCAAGCACAGAGTAAGTGACAGAACAGGGTAAAAGAGAATAATAGTGCAGGAGAAGAGCAAGCAGGAGGCACACAGAGAAAGATCTATTTACCTAGAGAGCTGAATTAGCTGACTCTAATGTACAGGTGACCATCAATGTTAGGTATCACATCTTACCAGCATGTCAGTTGCATTGAGGTAGTGCTTGCTGGCCATGCACTGTTCCAGCTTCTGGGGCACTTGCTTGATGTTCTCAATCTCATCCAGCAAATTCAGGACATGCTTGTGCTCAATTCCTTCTATCCACAACTTGCGCAGCTCATCCCGTTTGCAGTGCAGCAGCATCTTGCATGACAGGAGATTTTCCTTCACCTACAAGGCAACATGTTGAAGATGAGGTCAGTCTAATGCCCTTTCTCTTGGAGCCTGCCATATGGTCAGCACTTCCCCTAACTCACTCATTTTAACAGGAGTTTCAAATGGCAATAATCAAATCCACATTTTTTTTAAAACCAGCCTATTATTCCTCTGTAGCACAGGGGAATCATATAATCACCCTAAATAATGACAGCAACCATAGGGGAAATGAAGTGAAACTAGGTGCTGGGGCTTAATTCAAGTCTTGTGCTATTAGCGTATGCTTTACTGGAATAGCCTTAATGGGATTCTACACATGTTCATCTTAACACCAGGACTAAAGAGTTACTTGCAGCTGTTTCCAACATTTATTCAGCATTTAGGCATGAAACAGGAAGCCAATTGTTTAGTGTAAGTAAATAAATAGCTACTATTTTGTTCCTCTGTAAACATTTTCTGTCTGCCTATTAAATTCTTGTGGCATCTCTCCCTCCTCCCTCCTCTTTTCTAGTTGTTTCTTCATTTTATGAAAGTGGACTATAAAGGAGGATCCCTGTTAACTCAGTAGCTCAGGTGTGACATTAAACCAGAAAGGGTTAAGCAACTAGCAGGCTAAATGACCCAAATTCAATCTTTAAAGACATATTAGAAAAGTATATAGATGGTAATTAGGACTATTTCTTATAAATAGCTAACATAGCCATAGACTTGAGGTTTGAAATGTGAACCTGTACTGTTAGAGAATTAGAGTTAATATGGATTGTATGTGTTTACTTATATCTTGTTAGATGTTAACCATGTAAACAGACGGTTCCTGTCAGTTACTATATCCATTGATTCAGAGATCAAAAGGGAATATTAACATTTAGATGAAACTAGAGTGTAATAATTTCGTTGTCTATATTTCTCTTTGAAGTTTGTAGTAAACTGTCTATGAACTGCTTAATGGATAATTACCTTATGCTGATGAATGCAACTAGTTACCTGTGTATACACAGGAAATAGGTGATTCTACTTCAAAGCCACAATGCTGTACCCAAGGAATGCCTGCTGTCAAGAGGCTGCCGGGGATCTATGAAAAGAACTCTTGTGTCTTGGGCCTGTTACCTCAGATCTACTTAAGCTTCATCAGGGGAAGTTTGAGTCGCAAGACTGAGGTCCCCAGCTCCAGACTGGGTCACCCTGATATTGGATATTGAACTATGACCTATGGAACTAATTCTGAAAGAACTTTTTGCAACTCTGAAGCTCACCATCTCTCCCATGAACTGACCTAAGAACTTTATTCGTATCTGTAAGTATATAATGATCTTTTAACCAATACAGACTCTCTCTTAGCCAATTGGGTAAGATCTGAAGTATTCATTAAGTTGGAGGGTAATGTGTCCAAATTTTTGGGATTGATAGAACTTTTTATATGATGAACAAGATTTTCAATAATCCTCATCGTCTTTGATGTGGCTGTCTGGGTGGGAGCACAACGCTGGGTTGCTTTAAGGGAACTGTATTTCTGGCTTCTGAGTACTCAGTAAGGTATTGTAGAAGCTGTTTTGTTGCTGGATTGGTAAATCTAAGTATTAGAAATAACCTCCAATTTTGGGGATTGTCTGCCCCATTCTTTGCAGTTTGCCCTGATTGAGCAATCTCAGCATGGCCCCCCCCTAAAACCCTGGTCACATCAAGTGACACCAGATTTGTTAGCAAGAGATGGAGTTTATCTAACGAGATGTCTGAAAGAATGTCAAAATGGATTGTAAGTAGGATAAAATTCAGCTCAGCATCTACATTACACATCATGACACTATAACACACAGAAAAAACAGTGCAATGCCTGCCATTCACTTTGTTTTAAAATCTCAAGCCATCTCTTGCAGATTGTCAGAGAAGTTCTTGCTTTTCTATCACATTCCTATTGACAGGAATCAGGAACATCTCTGAACTTTAGTCCCAGGCCAGAACTACTAATCTCACCCTGTTTTCAAGTCTGCCAACTTTCCTAGTTCCTGGGATAAGGTCAGTACAACCCAATTTTGCTTGCATGCCATAAATGGATAATCATTTAAGTGCCTTAAAATCAGTAAGCAATTAACCACCACTTCTCACACAGCATTTACGCCAGTTATCTGGTTTCAGTGATAAACTATGAATATTTAGGGCCCAAGCCTTTCTTAGGCAGAACTCTAGCATCACTGAATTACAAATGCAGAGAGGCCCTTGGATTTATTTTCAAGTAACAGAGTCTTTAAGGCCCTACAACAATGCTTCAGCTGCACCTTTTTCCCTTCTATCCTCCTTTGGATGAAGCGATGAGACTTCCTGAAAACATACAGATGGACCAAAAGAAAGACAACAGCTAATAGAGTCAATTAACATACAACAGCACCATGCTCTGAAGTGTACATATTAAAGTCCCGCTTCAAAGATAAAGTTCTAGATGGCACAGGACCCAACAGACTCTCCTTCAAATATCTTCAGACACTGGGAAAACCTCAACAATTTTGTGCTCCATAACTTGTCTCAATAGCAGAGAAAAACTGAATGCCATACACAGCACTTGTTGGGCACAGGCCCTGTTGCGTATCCTAGGGCTTGTCTACACTACCGCGCGGGGTTGATCTAACATACACAACTTCAGCAACATGAATAGCGTAGCTGAAGTTGACGTACTTAGATCTACTTACCGCGGTGTCTTCATTGCAGTAAGTCGACAGCTGACGCTCTCCTGTGCTCCACATTCTGGTGGAGTACCGGAGTCGACGGGAGAGAGCTCAGTGGTCGATTTATTGCGTCTATACGAGACGCAATAAATCGACCCCGCTGGATCGATTGTTGCCCGCCAATCCGGTGGCTAGTGTAGACAAGCCCTTAAACTAGACAGTATCATCTTAGCCTTAGTGGCAGTGTTGATGCCTTGTACAAAATGATGGCCACTTTAAGAAAGGCCAAACAGTCTACGGAAATGAATGAAATGTTTGAAACTTGATGTCCTTGTCCAAGCACAAAACAGACGAGTGATCCAGAGAGCGGCTTTGCCTTGAGAAGTTTTTCATTTTTCCCTGTTAATTTAAGAAGCAGATAGCAGCATTTTTGAGGTTAGCATTGGTAGGCAGGAGGAGAGATATGAAAGATGATAGAGTGAACACCTGAAGATGTATTTTAAGGAACACCATATTCCTCCTCAGGCCCATCTTTTCCTCTGTCATGACCCTGTAATGCCATTTAAGTCAATGGGATTATATGGGCGTAAAACCCGTACAAATGAGATCAGAATCAGGCCCTGACACATGTCCACAAGATTCAGTGCCTGGGCAAATATGAGCTGAAGAAAACAGTTGTTTCACAAACATAGATATCTGGACTACTAAACACAGACAAAGCATTTTGCTTTTGCACAAATGTTTCTGTCCAAGTTTGTTGCAATATGAACATCCACCCATAACAAAGGAGAGGAACATCAAAATGGAAAGCTTGACAGCATAATATAGACTAATGGCACAGAGTCTAGCATCATATCTGGTGCCTCGCATGAGAATAGGGCAAAGTTCCTTCAATACATGTTGACTAAAGCTAATCAGAAAACATAAATATCCAAAGGTCCTTCACCCCCCACAGTGATTAGTTTAGATGGGAATGTCATTGTCCCTATACGATTGCTTTTGACCTCTGCATAGCTTAGCATATTTGGTGAAAACGGGCTATAGTTTATTTCAAGTTTAAGATTATTGATCTGGGCCTTCACAGAGCCAGACTTTGTACATAAATCCTTAGAATGAACTCTTACCCCTCGAAGGGATCAGAGAGGTCTCATTCGCTTTGAAAATGCTAAATGAATTTGAAAAACCAGAAGGGTCAGTGTGCTGCCTCAGAAGGGTCATAGCTTACTGCTTCTGGAGCACTGCTCTGAAAGGTTTCAAAGTCATGATCTCCACGGCGCTAGTCAGACAATGGAACAATTTATGTACCTGGCGTGCAAGGCTTAAGTACAGCAATCCACAGAGAAAGTAAACAAGGGCTGGGAGAGTGGTGAATTCATCAACTGGGATAATAATCAGAACTGGGGGTAGAGAACAGCAAAGAGTAAGCCCTCACCAGTGCTAGGAGTGCCACTGTTATTTACAAGAGTAGTAATAAATTTTAGGAAAATATAGCATTCAAAATATAGGAACACCAGGAGGCACCGCTCAAGAGTTGATTATGCAAATGACCTTAAAATTCATATTCAATGGGCCAGTGGACATCTGATGAGTCACTGAGATGACCTAGGTGGCAGGTGATCAGAGACCATCCTGATGGGCACAATAGAAGAACCAGAATAGACTAGATGGGAGAGGTTTTAGCTGTATAGATTTGGGTGATCTGCTGCTGGGTCAAGTAACAAGTCAGGCCAGGTCCTCACTGATTTACACTAGCTGAGAATCTGACCTATTTAAATAACTCTGATGGTAGTTTCAAAGCTGGCAGGTAATGGCATCTTCCCCATTCAATATTTGGTTCAGCACAAAATGATATCAAGTAGAAGGGAGACAGGACTAGAGAAGTAAGGGTTGAATTAAAACCTTGATACGTCAATTTTATATTAACACAAAAGGGACAGGAACAAGGGCAAAGGTGGAAATGCAATGCAGAAACAGATTTGAACACATGAAGCCTTTTCTGGTGGGTGCAGAGGTAGGGGGAAAGAGAGCGAGAGAGATGCCAGACATAGTGCTGCCTGCCCTTTCACCTGCTTGATCTTGTTGCGGGAGTTGGTGATTCGCTCCGTGATGCTCTGGTACGTGCGGATAGCTGTGGTGAGCTCCGTGTAGTGCTGAACAATAAGCTCATCCAAATCCCGGTCACACTTCTCATAAGCTTCTCCCAGACGGCCCTTCTCAGTCTCTCTGTCCTCGACATCATCACTGGTGGAGAGAGTCCTAACAACAAGGTCAAAACAATGGCAATGTTTAGAAGTGATTTACCAGCACAGGAACTCTTAAATCTGAAGTACACCATGGGCTGGAAAGCAGCCACTATGTTATTCTTCAAATGCCATTGACTGAAGAGTACCTCTGGTAAACATGTTTGTATAAAGTTTAGTCGAGATCCAGCAACAACAGTTCTTTGCATGAGACACAGATCTTTTAGCTTCCTTTATTATCTTCCTTGCTTCTAATAAGAGTTTTATTTTTAAGTATTTTTTCTCATTGCACTAATCAGTCATTAAGCCATTACCTGGTCACCAGTCAGGCTGGTGAAATGGAATGGAACTGGGGTGGGAAAGAAAAATCTCCCCTCTCCCCAGCCCCCAATTCTTTGTTCTATGTTCTCCCACCCATTTTACATAAGAGTCATAGGGATTTTCTTCCGACAAGAAGAATTGGGGAATTGGTGCAGAGATGTGACATTACCAAAAAGGCCCACCAAGATAACCAGGACATGGCTTTGGATAATCACGATCAATAGACAGATTTTAACAGATCATAACTATAACATTTGTTTGTAAAAATGTTGGCATTTAGGGTAACATTTGTTATACCCTGAAGAGAGATGAATATTGAAACAGACCCTTGAGGGAGGGCTGTGACTCAGAAAGAGAAGGGTTTGAATTTTCATTTAGATTTCTATGTCACTTTTTGTTACCCTGGAAGAGCTGGAATTTTTGGTTTCGCTGGAGAGAGTGAAACTACTCTATTAGCGAGATAGCAACTGACCAACTGGGTGTATCTTCACAACCAGGTGGAACCGCAGGCACACTTCATATAGCCCCCACTAAACCCATAGAATTTATCTATCTAGGTTCTCATACTGTGATATGTGAGGGCTATAAACACGACTACGAATTTTGAACCATTTTAATTGCAGAGTGAGTCTGAGTGTCCAACTTGAGAAACCTGAAATGGACCTGACTTTCAGGAAGTGCTGTGTGCCCACCCTCTGAAAATGACACTCTTTAAAGTGTCACAGATTGTGCATACAAAAATTGAGGTATCCAAAATCACTAACTGCTTTTGAAAATTTAAGCCCGAGACTCTACAGAATTGAAAATCTGGAAGTACATTACAGGGAGCCTAGTACACCTGTGATAACAGAGGCTTACACCTTTTAAGACACAGCACACAACTCCAGAATGACCCTCACTCTCAACTCTAAAAGCAGAATGCAAATAACCAAGCTGTAGGAGTGAAAGTGCTCATCAGTTCCTTGCCAGGGCTACTCAGATATTTCAGAGCAGCAGGTCAAGTGGTTTGAAGGGAGGAGGGGGGAAAAAATCACTGAATGCTGCTGCTCCCTACTACTGTACAATTTGGCTTTCACTTTGGACTTGTTAAAATAATGAAGTCTAGACAAAAACTAAAACCAGTACCTCTGGAAATAATAGAAGTAAGAAAATGCAACCAGTTATTGGGGAAATTGACTTGTCATCTGGCAGCAATAGGGACAGCAGGATTGACAGGAAGGTAAGAGACCTGTCTACACATCTTTGGAAGATGAAAACACCAATGAGAGAAACACTCTATTCAGGGTGTAACAAGACAGTAACTTCAGTAACTAGGAGTAAGGAAAAAAACATAGGCTAAATATTAAAGAAAAATTGCCTAACAAGATCTGCTAGATTGTGAAACAGTCTCGTAAGGAAAGTGGTAGAAACCATATTGTTTGAGTTATCTAAAACAAGACTGGACAAAGCACTAAAAATATATACAGGAAACACTCTCCTTACCCCTAAGAGAAAGTTACTGCCAGCAAAGGTGGGGCCAAAGCTTCCATTTCCCTTACCCCATCCTTTCAGAGAAAGCAAACAGTTGCGCCCTCTCTCCTTTTTAAAAAACACCTCAAGTGATGTAACTGTCCCAAGACTACAGCAAGGGGATCTTAAAACCAAGAGGTAGTATTCTAGACCACCAAGGACTTGGCAAGAAAAAAAGAGGTTGCAATTATACAGCTCTTATCCTGCTGCCTTCCTCTGAGGAGAGCAGCAGAAACAAATCCTACACACATGGTATATTCTAGGAAAACCACATAGCAGGGCAGTAAATTGAAGCGCTAACCCCTGCAAAATAGCCACTACCAGGACAGGATTAAACAAAGTCTGTGAATGGCTATCCAACTACAGAAGCAGTTTCTCCTCCCTTGGTGTTCACACCTCAACTGCTAGTAGAGCACCTCACCCTCCCTGATTGAACTAACCTCATTATCTCCATACTGATTTATACCTGCCTCTGGAGATTTCCATTACTTGCATCTAAAGAAGTGAAGTTCTTACCCACGAAAGCTTATGCTCCCAATACTTCTGTTAGTCTTAAAGGTGCCACAGGACTCTCTGTTGCTTTTTACAGATTCAGACTAACACGGCTACCCCTCTGATACTTACCAGGACGTATGCGCTTTCAAAAACTGTTACTCATTCCACACCTCTTTCAATAGTAATGACAACGGGTCTAACACAGAATTATTTGTACCCTACAAGCCTCCTTTATTTTGTAATGCTCTCACTCCTATCAGCAGAATTGGTTTCAAAATAGTGCATAGCTGCGGATGGTGAAAGGGACCCTCTCCTTGACTGAAAAATGCAAACGGATCAGCTGAGATCCCATGAATGGAAGGGCTGTAAACGAGCACCTTCTCCGCTTCCTAGACAATGGGCCCCCACCTCAGCTAAGCTCCATTTGCTTCATTCTGTTTTCTTTTTTCAACAGGATGTTTTGTGGAACTCAGTGGGCAAGGTTTTGTGTAGATATAAATGAATGACTGGGAGTGCCTATAAACCCCACCACCACCCTTACATTATTTTTTTAATCCCTTCTCACTTCTCAAACTGGCCACAGCAAGGGTTTTTTTACGGAATAGGGAAGCCACTGGAAATAAGGCTATGCAGAAGACTATAAAGCTTTGGATAATAAAACTGCTGAAAGAATTGTACACCAGTACTTCCTAGATGCTGTATGACATAAAAAGTTAAGCCCCCAGTTCGAACTAAGATACGCAACTTCAGCTACGTGAATAACGTAGCTGAAGTCAAAGTACCTTAGTTCAAACTTAAAAGTATTTACCACGGGTCCGCACGCGGCAGGCAGGCTCCCCCGTCGACTCCGCCTACTCCTCTCACAGAGCAGGATTACCGGCGTCGACGGCGAGCACTTTTGGGATCAATTTATCGCGTCTAGACAAGACGCGATAAATCGATCCCAGAAGATCGATTGCTGGCCGCCGAACCAGCGGGTAAGTATAGACATACCCCTAGATAAAGTTAATAATGTGTGTTAAGCATGCAAGTTATAGGAGGCACACTTTAGTTGCCCCTAAGATTAAAGGGTAAAATTTGCATCCTTTCTATGCAAAATAAATAGAGGCAGTAAGGCTCAAGGGCTGGTTTGTTTGGTTTTTTAAATGTACTCTACTGATAGTTTATGGGGAAGAATACAAGTTATATTTGTGGAGAACTGCTGAGTGATGATGACGGGAGTACTTTCCTTCATATCATGAGACACCCTTTTGGGGAATCATTGTACCGTGCTTCAGTGTGAGATTCAAAGATATTGCTCGCCAATTCTCTCTAACCTATGTTATAGATGAGAGGAGCACTCAAACAGAATATAGGGTCTCTGATGCTAAGCCAAGTTGGCCACGTCTCTCAACACCCTTGACTATAAGGGGTTGTAGTTTAAATCTTGTGTGGTACGATGACTATTGCTTTATAGTCTACTTACCTTTGATTCCTTTTCTTATTTCATGGTTGTTCTTTTAGCTTCCCTTCACACAATAAAAATCATTCAAAAATATTACGTTCACAGGGAGATGGAGTAGGTGACCTCACAGGTCCTCTTCCATCTTTAGCTTATATAATTCTTTGATTTTTATCTCTCTGTCTACAATGCTAATAACTTAGAACAGCAGTGCCACAGACTCTTCCAGAAGATTAAAAGAACATCACTGTGGTGCTAGAGGACACACCTACATCCCATTTTACATGCTACAGCAGGCTTCCAGTTTAACAGATTTTTTTTAATAAATTCCTTTCACATTCACACTACTTTTCAAAAGATATTGACCTGAAATACAGACCAGGTGTTTATGACCTCATAACAGAGTTTAACTGCCCACCATGAGAAAGTAAGTAGCTTGTTAAAAACCACTAGACATTTCCACAGCAAAAAAAACAAAGTGTCTGTATCCTACAGGAGAGGTACAGATCAAAACTGGACCAATGCCGCTCTCAGAAGCCATGCACTACGTTAAAAGAGTTAATGAGTAATGATTAGACTACAGAAGTCTTAGGGCTTGTCTATACTTACGCGCTGGTTCAGCGGCAGGCAATCGAACTTCTGGGTTCGATTTATCGAGTCTAATCTGGACGCGATAAATCGAACTCAGAAGTGCTCCCCGTCGACTCCGGTAATCCTGCTCGCCGCGAGGAGTACGCGGAGTCGACAGGGGAGCCTGCCTGCCGGGTGTGGACCGCGGTAAGTTCGAACTAAGGTACGTCGACTTCAGCTACGTTATTCACGTAGCTGAAGTTGCGTACCTTAGTTCGATTTGGGGGTTTAGTGTAGACCAAGCCTTAGTGAGGTCAGGAGATACCACAGGCTTCTATGTCACCAGAATGCAGTATGGCGATGCCCATCTAAATTTATCCTTTTCAACAGATACTGTTGTTACCAATCGCACAAATCAATTTATTCAACTCCTTTTGACATTTTTTCTGTTAATAAATAGACCACAAACAGGTCACAATGTTCTCAACTTAATTTGTTCTTATTTCTATAATAATTTGTAGCACCTAGAAGCTCTAACTGAGAACAGGGCGCCATTGTGCGAGGTGCTGTACAAGCACATAGTAACATAGTTCAAGCCCCAAAGAGTTTACAGTCTAAATAAACAAAATAATAATAAATGGTGGGAGAAAGGATGTGTTACAATCCCCATATTACAGGTG